TGTGTGTGTGTGTAAAACAGTGTGTGTATGTGAGTGTGTGTGTGTGTGTAAAACAGTGAGTGTGTGTGTAAAACAGTGAGTGTGTGTGTATGTGAGTGTCTTTGTGTGTGTAAAACAGTGTGTAAACAGAGTGTGTGTGTGTGTGTGTTTATACGAGTGTGTGTGTGTATGTGAGTGTGTGTGTGTAAACCGAGACTGTGTGTGTGTGTGTGTATGTGAGTGTATGTGTGTGTGTGTGTGTATATGTGTGTGTGTATACGAGTGTGTGTGTCTGTATGTGAGTGTGTATGTGTATGTGAGTGTGTGTGTGTGTAAACAGAGTGTGTGTGTGTGTAAACAGAGAGTGTGTGTGTGTGTGTATACGTGTAAACAGAGTGTGTGTGTGTGTGTGTATACGAGTGTGTGTGTGTAAACAGTGTGTGTGTGTGTGTGTGTGTGTGTGTATACGAGTGTGTGTGTGTATGTGAGTGTGTGTGTGTGTAAACAGAGAGTGTGTGTGTGTGAGTATACGAGTGTGTGTGTGTGTGTGTGAGTGTATGTCTGTGTATATATAAACATGTATATATATGTAAACATGAGTTAATTGCATAGACCCCCCTGTGTTATTTCTCGGAAGCAAAAAACCCCCCCGGAAAAAAAAATTAGCATATGACCCCCTATGTTGTGTTTTAGTCAGCCCACCGCCCCTTTGTGTGCACTGACTCGTTGACTTACGCGAAATGACAAAAATGCCCTTCAGATAAATATATCCAACCTCTAGAATTTTATGACTCAAATGAAATTTTCAAAATTTTCAATTCAGTCCCTAGCACTTTCAATTTAGCCCTCTTCTCCAATTGAAAAAAAAAAAACAACGCACACTTCAATTTTAATTTCTCAGCTCATAGCTCAACGGCGGCTGCAACGGCAGCTGTGTTTGAGAGGATTTTGCGATGGGCTTTGCTATTCGTCGGAGAATTCGGCGAAGTGTAGCTCGCCGGACCTCGATTGGCGACGACTTTAGAGAAGATCTGAACTCGCGGCGGCGGCGGTCGCTGGGCAACGTCGGAGAAGATCTCCATATTTCAGAGGTGGAATTCCCCTGCGAATTGATCTCCCCAGGACTCCGGCACACCTTCTCCACCAAATTAAACCCCTTCGGCGGCGGCGGATGCAGCAAATACTCCGAACCGTCGTCCATAACCCGAAACGGCATAAGCAAGTCCGACGTCTCGAATAAAAACGGATTCTTTTCATTACCGCCATGCGATTTGGTGAATTTGCAGGGGTTTGCTTTGGTTGGGAAAATCTTAGGGTAAGCCGTGAAGAGAATCGCCGCCGCCTCGTTGTAAGTCTGGTTCGGCCGTTTCCGAGGCGTCCGCGGCTTCCGGGTGGAGATTGCGAGAGGGCAGTTGCTGGATTCAGAGAGAGTTGATGAAGGAGAAGATGATGTTGAAATCCATGGAGGAAGGGGGGTGGGGATGGAGGAAGGGGAGTGGTTCAATTATTTGGGGAAGAAGACGATTTATTCTTTTTTTTTTTTCCTGTATTCTTTATATTTGTTTTGACAATTTTGATAATTACAATTTAGTCCTATAACTTTAGATTATTTATAATTAAATCAATCTGAGTTTTTTTCCTCTTACAAAGGGTTTTTATGTCTTTTCCTGTCCTAAAATGTCCTAAAACGCACGCCCAGCTGCATGAACCGCGAGTGTATCCCACGATTCGCTCGTAGGGTCCTTATTGTCATTGACTTCCTTTCATAGGGGGGTATTTGCTAATTGTTTTATCCGAGGGGTTTTTTTGCCAATTAGAGATTTCACAGGGGAGCCGAGTGCAAATACCCCATGTAAACATATATATATATATATATATAATATAATATATAAACAGATATAGTGTATGTGTATGTGTATATGTGTGTGTGTGAAAAGTGTGTGTGAATATGTGTAATTGTTAAACTTGAGATATTAAACTACATTAAGTTGTGATATTAAACCCTAAAAGTTGAGATATTCAACCTCATAAATTGAATTAAAGATGCAATGAATTCATGTGGATCCGATCCGGATCGGTCTAAACTCGATCCACATTAAATCCATTCATGTAGGTTGATATTGGATCCGGTTCCTTTTGCATCCGATCCACATGGATCCGGATCGGATCCGGTCCAAGTTGAGAAATTGCCACCCCTACATATGAGTCACCTCATCTCCTCTTGCTTGGGAATGGGAATTCTGATTTATAACTGTAAGTTCTTGGTGTGATGAAAATTGAACATAAACATTTCTTCCCCTATAAGCACGATAAGAAAGTTCAGTAACAGACTAGATAACAGCAAAAATAAGGTGAAGATTTTCCATACTGAAATTGAAAACATTATTTTTCATTATACCTTATGCTCGGCTGAACATTAGAGTAAAATTGCAAGGCGTTTACTGCTGAAGTGATTTTTTTTTTTTTTTTTTTTTTTGTTGATCGTAATTGTTCTGTCACTGACAGTATATTAACGTAATTATACTGTCAATGATAGTTAATTAACGTAATTGTACTGCCGTTGACAATAAATTTATGTAATTATGCTGCCTTTGACAGTAAATTAATGTAATATTATTATTTTTTATTTTTTGTTATTTTTTTTTATTTTGTTTGATTTGTTGACCAGTCAACGTAATTATATTACTGTCGTTGACAGTAAAATAACTGTAAACACAATAATATTACTGTCAACAACATCAATATTATTATTTTTTTGGGTTTTTTGTTTTGTTTGAGTTATTCACGGAGTAACGTAATAATATTACTGTCTATTATTGTAATATTACTGTAAACACATTACAATATTACTGTAGTTGATGGTAATATTACTGTTGTTATAGTAATATTGTTGTCAACCACATCAATATTATTATTTTGTTTGAATTTTTTTGTTTGTTTGAGTTATTCACGGAGTAACGTAATAATATTACTGTCTATTATTGTAATATTAATGTGGTTGACGGTAATATTACTGTTGTTATTGTAATATTACTGTCACTCACAGTAATATTAATTCTTTTGGCTTTTTATTATGTTTACATTTGTTGAACGGTCAACATAGTAATATTACTCTATTACACAATAATAATGAGTTTTGTTGTGTTAATATTTCTGTTCTAGAGATTAATATAGCTTACTGTGTTAAACTGTAGTTTAGTTAATTTTACTGTGTTTAACAGTAATATAGTTAATATTACTGTCAATTACAACAATATTGCTGTTTAAACGAAAAAAAATGTTTCGGAAAGAAGAAAAAAAAATCGAAAAAGTCAACGCCGGAAACTGGCGAAAAAATCCGGATGAAAAGAAAAAAAAAATTGAAAAAAAAAATTACGTCAAAATTGAATAATTTGTGAAATTTGGGGTCAAGTTGAAGTTAAGGATGAAATTGGAGCATATTAAAATATGAGGGGCTATTTTAGTCATTTACAAAAATCCGAACCATATGTGGACTTATTAGTAAATGAATTTTTTGTCTAGATCTCTTTATTAATAAGTACCCATTGATGGACTTATTTGTAATGACCCCTATTTTAAATTTCATTGTTGAATTGGCTGGAAAGACAACTAAATTATTATACCTATAAAAAA